CCCTGCATGTCATTGGTTTCTAGAGCTCTAAACACACCGGTGGTCAGGTGCTGCGTTACAGGGCTTGCCTCAGCTCCTTCTCCCCTGTTTATGATAAGCATGTATTTTTGCAAGCTTTACAAGCTTGTTCTGTGCAATGCCCAAGCAGCCACAAAACATCTGAGAGGCTGGCAAACTGGAAATGCTTTGAGGATGGCTCATTTGTATTTGTCAGAGAGGCCTGTGAGGATTCTTTCTTTCGCCAGAATTTTTCCCAGAAGCCTGATCTAAAATGCTGCTTAAGAATATGCTTACATTGAAGCACAAGCATAGACTGGGGAAGTCGGTGGAGTTGTGCATTATCATTAGGCACATGTTTCAGTCCCTACTAGGACTGAGGGTCCTTAGTCTGTGAGGGTCGCTTTCTCACACTGAAGGGTTGGCAAGAACACCCAGCACTTTTGTAATACGTCTTTCACTCATTTGCTGGCTAGCTGGCATCAGCTAAAGCAGCTCATTGGTGACAGCTAAATATGTTTGGGTGTCATGGCCCAGCGCTGAGCCCACTAGTGCTGCCTGCAGTGGCTATACTCCGTGTTCCTCACAGAACAGAGGTGGAGAGGTGGGATTCGTCTAGCCCAGCTTCAGACACCTACGCTAGAGGCACCTACTTCTGAACATGTCACCCCAGACTGTTTAGAAGAGCTGGTGGAGAGAAACAAGCACTTGGTGAGGGTGATTCATCTGGCTTGCCTTTATCATCTACTTTAGGAGGAGATAAATCATGCTATGCAAATGTCTTTTTGCTGTCTACTAACTATGCAGAAAGTGTAAATCACTGTCTCAGATACACAAGTCTGCACAGTAGAAGTCTCAAACTGAGAAGACAAATGCCACCCTTGGTTTTTATCAGTATCACATTTTGACATCTACAGTGAGATACAGTGTGGTGCTGCGGTAAGTCTTTAGCTGGCTATCTGTGCACAAGAGTCTCAGACCTTAAAGCACTTTTGAAGTGGTCTGGACAGGTTGTTTAAAGGTGTTAACCTCTGCTAGGGTGGATTTTGTCTGACACAGTGCATCTGTAGTCGGTGAGAAAGGGCACATCATCTAAGGCATCTGCTTTATGTGGGGTGTCTAGTACCTTCCAGTGCCTGTTTTAATCCATGGCCTCAGCCATGAGCATGGACTAAGTAGCTCTGGTATAGATGTCCCTACCACAAGTACCTGAAGTCAGCTGAGAGGGGCCTCACCCGTAATGGAGAAACAGAAAGACAGCTGTCTCCCAGTGTTAGGGATCCCCATGGGTAAAAGCATTGCCAGTAGCACTGGAGGTGATCTCTTCTTCCCTTTGCTTCTGAATGCCATGGCAAAGAGTTTGGGCTGAAAGGGAGGGAGAAGGAGTGGTTCCGGTTGGAAATTAGGAAACAGGAAAAGGCATGAATAAAAGGAAAAATGAAAAGCCAAAATTAGTAAAAGCAAGCTAGTCAATTTTCCTCTATCTCAGCATCTTGATTTGTTCTTTTGGGGGATACAGTAGCATACAGAGCAGTCTGCTGCAAGGAGCAATGGAAGAAAACCAGTAAAAGCCTGGAGAAGAGTGTTCAGAAATAGAATTGTCCATTCTGACAAGACATTTTGCCATCTTTAAATTCGTATGGATTCTGTTGCCAGCTGACCATGGTGGAATGTTAGGAAGAGAGTGAAGAGCTTTTCATCCATGTGTGGGTTTGATGTCACCCCATCTGGGACCTAAACTGTGGTTTAGGTGAGGAAAATGTCTCCATCGGGACACAGGGACTGGGCAGGGAAAGCTGCAGCTCTGAGTATTATACATGTCAGCTGGCAGGCAAGTCCCCATCACAGTAAATGAGAGATGAGACCACATGGGTGTATAACATCTATAGTGTCCACCTCTTCCAAAAACAGCCTGGCTTCTGGGGGCAGACTGTGTCCCAGATATCCTCCAGGACAGTGCCACTAGAAAAGGCTGTGCCCATTTGGCATCCAGGCCTGAAGCAGCACAGGAAATGATATGGGCACAATACAGTTTCACTGACAGATACCACAGACACTGACACATGCTTTAAGTGTCAGCTTGTAACTGTGTATTACCAGAATAGTGGTATTACCACAAAATATGGGACCCATCATCATGAAACCCATCATACCTGGCATAAGTTTTTACTTCATCCAGCATGTGGAAGCATCCAAAGAATGAGCATCCCTAAAAATTCAACCCTTGAGCTGCAAGATCACTTTAGATGTGATACATGCAATGTTGTCTTTTGCTGAAAGTTCATGTTTCTGTTGGTGTATTTAACATAAAATTAAATATACCTGGACAAGTAATTTTGCCTATGGAGCTGAGAAAGCATCAGTAAAGTTCAGCTTTATTTCATAGGGAGTAATTGACATGGAGTAGAGTTAAAAGGCAGTGATTCCCTTGCGAGTTGTCCATGTGAACTGCTGACTCATGCATATGTGTGCAGTAAAAAGGGGAGCAGAGCAGGCATCATCTTCAGCCTTGGTGGGGATAAGATCTTCACCACAGTGTGTGTTGTGGGGTGTCCATCAAACACTGCACTATTTTATGTAGAGTGTCTGGTGCATCAGATAGTGTAGTCATGATTTCCCCTCTTTCCTTCCCCTACTAGGCCAGAGGGACAGACTTGCTGTCTCAATGATCAAATCTGATCTTAGAAAACACAGCTTCAATATTGTGATTCAGAGCACCTACTCATCTTCAGATATCATACACCCTAGTGGCTTAAGGCATGCTCACTAATCTAAAATATCTTTAGCAGGAGGGGTTTAAATTCCAATTTCCTGCTGGAATCACTGCAGAGAAGACAGGTACAGCAAGTACCCTGCTAGCTGTCTTCTAGAAGGAGGAACTTTTTTTGCCTAATTCTCCAGGTAGTGTCAAAGATGTAAACTGTGTGTGGAGGAAGGCTGTTCTCTGCACTGACACAGGTGCACAAACCCCTCCTAAGCTCTTGCTTGGCACTCTGGCTGCCCGAGTGTGGGTTTTCCGTGCATAGCAATACCCCTGGTCTGTGGGAAGGATGCTGGAGTTTGTTAGGGTGTGTGAAGAGTTTGGTGTTTCAGTGACAACGCTTAGTAGAAAAGCTTGAGAGGAAAGAAAAAAATCAGTAATCGTTATGGGACTTGTGTGGTGAAGAGCAAAGAGTGTTGAGCCATTAGACGGTGAAGTTAGAAGAAATGAATGTACTGTTGTCTGGTAAACTGAACCCTGACTGGTCTGTGCAGCAAGTGAGGCAAGAAGTATTAGTGACAAGCAGTGTATTATGAAGAAAATGTATTTAAATGATTTTGAATGAGCTAAGGGTTCACAGACAGCCTTTTCTCAATTCTAGCTTCTTGTAACATTTAGCAGGTAGCAGTAGCCCTTCCATTAGGTTTTTAATACAAAGCAACATTAACTTTGGATAATTCATTGGCCTGCTGGTGCATCTCCTGTTATGTAGAAAGCTGCCCACACAATCTTCTACTGAAATAACTGGAGATCAGCAAAGTGCCCAGCTCTCTTAAAGCCACTCAAAAAGACCAGATGTTTATGCCTGTGCTGCTATTCGCTCTTTTTAAGACACCAGAGGCCACAGATTTTCCTGTTACAAAATACAATTTTACTAGGCAAACTCAGATCTTAGTGAGATCAGGCATTCGTTATCTGTAAGGAAATAATAATTCTCTCCATTGGAATAATCCTTTTCTTTAATAATGTATTAGCTCATATAAATACAAATTTAGGTTAACCTGAAATAAAAGTTTTTAAGCAATTTTCCATTCCAAATATTGATTCTCACCAGGATAAGGAAGGATTTTTGTGTATGGATCTCTCTTAATCTGCACTGAACGTATATAAATGTTTGGCAATAATACAGTCTCTCATTGCCGTGGCTGCACTTACATTTCTCTTTTCACCTTTCAATGCATGCAGTGACCTCTGGACACTTTTGAAGTTGTAGGGTCCTGGCTTTCAACACGAACTACTAATACATCCTCCTTCAAGTGAATGGACCAACCCAACTGAATCATCCTTTAAGACAAGTCGCTACTGAGTGTTGCATGTGAATGGGGTGAATTTAAGAAAGGCAGGTAGAAAGCCCTAAAGGGTCTGCCACTGAGGTCTCCAGCACATTTTGAGCTCCCTGAGAACTGAACCACCCTAACCTCACTTTGCTCATTCAGTCAGTATCTGCTGATAGTGGTACAATACCAGGGCTATACCAATTCATGTTTAAGGATTTGAGGGAAGAAGCTTCTTAGGAAAGAAATTTCCAGCAGCATAGTAGACTCAGTTATATACTGGGGCAAAGTTCCAGTCCAGTCTCATTTGGTGCAGGGCTGGAGCTAAAAAAAAGTTAGTCGCCTACTCCGAAATGCTCTCCAGGGCAGCCTGTGGGTTGGTCTAATTTTTGCCATCTGGCTACAGCCTCAGAAGAGCTGTTTTTCTAGAGATCACTGAAATGCCTGGCGATCCAAGTTGAGTATTAATTGTACTATTTACATTGCTGTGATTGTGCTTAACTGCAAGATTAAATACATTGTCCCCCCTCTCCTTTTAAGAAACGCCATATTCCATAAGCTGTCCAATTCCACTTTTTCCAAGACAATAACAATTCCAAATGTTGTTGTAATCCCCTTTGATGCTTTATTAAACTGGATGTGTATTTTTCATTCGTTTACACGTCCTAACAGCATCAGTTTAAGTGGTGTGTTAAGCCTTTCTCCGTACATCAGAGCAACATGTAATTTTCATTTCAATTTTACCCAGTGGCTTCTAAATCTAGAGGTGATAATTACTATTTGCATTGTAATTATGTCTCGGTTGAACCAGAGGCCTTGCAATGATCTAAAAACAAAGGACATTTTGTGGCAAGATCTGGAGGGTTCTTTTGCTGCTAAAGCTCCGCGTGACTGCAGAAGGGCCTAGGGTTTGAAAACTAAAATGCGGGCTGGCTTTCCTTAGTAAGCCTTGTGTTTCTTCTCCCCAGGGGATGAGCGCTCCCGGGAGTCTCCAGCCCCAGCCGAAGCACAGATGCAAGCCGGGGCGGAAGGCAGTGGAAGGGTGAACCGCTGTTGCTGGAAATGCTCCGTGACGCAGCTCAAGAAGATTGTCTGGGGTGTGGCTATGGTCCTGGGTGTCTGCTCCTCTTGGTCAGGTTCAACCCAGCTAGCAAAACTGACCTTTAAGAAATTCGATGCACCCTTCACTCTAACGTGGTTTGCAACAAACTGGAACTTTTTATTCTTTCCTTTATATTATCTTGGACATGTTTTTAAGTCAGCTGAAAAGCAGTCTCCGAAGCAAAGATACAGGTATGGGAGCTTTTGTTTTTTCCACTGTGGCTCTTGCATGCTGCTCTATGTCTAGCAGATATTTTATTCATGTCATAGAATCACAGAATGATTTGGTTTGGAAGCGACCTCTAGTTCCAACCCCCCTGCCACGGGCAGGAACACCTTCCACTAGACCAGGTTGCTCCAAGCCCTGTCCAACCTGGCCTTGAACACTGCCAGGGATGGGGAAGCCACAGCTTCTCTGGGCAACCTGTGCCAGCACCCCTTCACCCTCACAGGGAAGAGCTTCTTCCTTATATCTAATCTAAATATACCTTCTCTCCCTTGTCCTGTCCCTAGAGGATCTTGTAAAATGTCCCTCTCCATATTTCTTGTAGGACCCCTTTAGGTACTGGAAGGCTGCTCTAAGGTCTCCCTGGAGCCTTCTCTTCTCCAGGCTGAACCCCAACTCTCTCAGCCTATCTTTATAGGAGAGGTGCTTCAGCCTTCAAATCATTTTCAAATGCCAGTTAAATCAAACTTGCATTTGCTTTCCTTTCCAGGTTTGTTAAAGGATGTTCTGAATTAATTATATAGATGCTACGTTATTATTCTTAATACAATTTCACTGCAACAGTAAGAAATCTTGGTTTATTTCCGATGCATACAAGTCACATAATGAAAGTCCACATTTGCTGCAATTACTTCTCAAGACCTTTCTGTTCAATACTCTGTGAACATCATTTTTTCATTAATACCTTCTTCCTCTACCCACAGCTGACTTTTATGGCAATTTCTGCATAAGCTCAGTAAGCTTTTCTGTTCCAAACTCAGGACTAGTGCAGTGTCTTGATCAGCCAAGTAAAAAGTATTGCAGTATTTTCCTGGCATTATGCCCCTGACATCAAAGGCCAAGCTCTGATCCCGGTTAAACTTGAGCTGTTGTGTTTATTTCCGGGAGGAAGCGCAGTCATAACCAAAGCCAGCATTTTGTCTTCAGCACACCTTGTCTTTACAGCAAGCCAAACCCACAAAGCCCGTAGTGCCTGTGCTCTGTGAGGGGCTGAGAATGCTCTAGCTGTTTAAAGAACCACCTCTTGGTGAGCACTCCTTCAGCTCATCTCATTTTGGCCCGAGAGGTGTCTGGGACAGATGGGATGACTCAGCCATCAAGATGTCCTGTGTCAGAGAGCTTCCCCGATACATGGAAGGATGTGAACAATGTTTTCCCCTTCTGTTACACAGTGGGGCTCACAGGCTTTTAATGAAGTAGCTCAGAAAGTAAACAGTAAGAAGTGCACATTTCTCAGCTTCCAGCTGTGCAGCAGCGAGGTGGAAACTTACTACAGAAAAAGTCTAAGAAACCAGGGTGCTCGGGAAATGCTCCACCTCAGATGACTGTGGTGCTGAAATTTTTCTGCTTAGCCATTATTATGGTTTCATCTACAGAGTTATTTGTGGGCTGCAGATAAAGGAAATCTACTGTTCAGTGAAGGTCCTAGAGCAGCATCCACTAGTTTTAAAGGCATTTTTATAAGATGTCATGTTTCCTGTGCTTCAGTGTTCAACTTGTACGTGTTTACTCCGCAGTAAACATGGTTGCTTCAGAGACCGGAGAAGTGTAGAGGTTAGAGAAAGCAAATTTAATCTAGAACCAATAACAAATGCTAGCCCCAAAAGAACTACCTTTTCGTTTCTTTGGGTTTTAAGTATTTTTCTTCCATCTGCCCTCGGATAATGTTTTAAATACTTCTGAATTCTAGAATGAGCGGTTGTGGTTTGCCAGATCCCTGGGGTTAAAACCAGAGCATTATACACATTGTTGCTGCAGTTAATTGTTATGGTTGGTAGTTTTATGTCTTCCATTCAATTAAATGATGGCTGAGTTGAAGAGGAGGTCATGCAGCCTATTTGGAATGCAGGGGAACACCACTAAAAGTAAGCTTACAGCAGGCTTAGTAAAGAACCTGCATTTGTGTTTCTGACCAGCGGATTTGATAGGGTTAATTTACAGAGTTTTTTTCTAGGTGCCAGGGTAGACCTGGACATTTGGAGATACAGTTTTGGTTCGTAGCTTTGCTGCAGATTTATTCTGTGGTTTTGAGCAAGTCTCTATGGACATCTGATCTCCTTGTACTTTCTGTTCATTTGGATGAGTCAGTTCTTTAGGGAGGAGGGAGGACTCCCCTATCACGTGTTTACATCGTGTCTGCCTCAGCATGTCCACTGTCTAAACTGAGACCTTTCAGTGGTGCTGCATCCCCTCTTAATTATTCCCCCTTTTTTGTATATTTTGTATATGTGTAAAAATATGCATAGAAGGAAAGACATATACCAAGACTCTGCAGCTTTATAAGAGCATTACCATCTTCTGGAAAGCTTGAACTCCGGGCATAACTGAACACCTTAGGGAGGCATTTTGTGGGCTTCTGGGTAGTTATTATAAGACAGTTCTGACCTGGAACTAAGAAGAAACTTGTATAATCAGTTTCTGTTTCCTTTATCCTTCACTTTCATCTATATTTTATGTATTATCTGAGCTCTCTGGAAGGCATTTGCAACAAGATAAATGAAAAGGTGGTAGCGGGAGGTGGAAAAATGACATCTAAGTCACCTTAGGAGTGAGGTGGTAAAGGAAGGGATTCTCAGATGTTGCCTACACAGGTTGCTAAAATCCTCAGGCACCTAATGTGTTTTGGCAGCTAAGCTCCCCAAGGACACCTGCGCAGCCACCTCCTCCTCCTCAGGACTGGGCAGCTCAGCCTCCTCTCACCATGGCACAGGCAGTGCCTTCCCACCTCCTCTTCCTCAGTGGGCAGCTTCACGGGGCCTAAGCCAGCAGGCATGCTTCGGTACCAGCAGGTACCTCACTGTGCAGTTAAAGAGCATGTAAAGAACAGAAACTCTTAGGAAAAATACACAAAACAGGGATAATAAAATGTAGCAACAGTGAATAGAGGTATAGTCCCTCAGTGTAGATTATATGGTTTATTGTGGTTTTAAATGTCTGTTGTATTGTACCGGTATGTATATACACTGTACTGTAAATACATGAATTTTCCTGGTTTTTTAGTTTCACAGAAGAACATACCTGCAATGGACACAAACCAGTTTAAAGCTGCAGATTTTTTTTTTTTTACCTCATTTTATAGCACATACAATGGTAATAAAGTTGCCAGCAAAATTTTATAGTAGTACATTAAATTTAAGAGCAGGTTTATTCAGTTTATTTATAAGACTTTGAGTATTAGGCTGTAATGTAAGGTGTTGAGTATTTCTGACTGACCCATATTGGATGGTAATGAGCGCTATTTAAGCTGGAGCAGACTGTCAGTGGCTGTGTCCCTGGCATGGGGAAACAGTCACTCTCCAAAGCAAACAAAAACTCATGCATTCATAGAATCACAGAATCACATGTCAAAGCTGCTTTAGGTTCCCTGTGCAGCTCCATCAACTGCTGGAGTGCATTGGGAATTGCAGTGGGAATTGTGCCCAGGTGTAGACTGCTCAGAAAGACCTTGTGCCATGCTCACTCTCAAGGGTGCCACACACACCCTTGGCACAGGACTGTGTGTGTGGGTGGTGACGCAGAAAGCTGTGGCAGGCCACAGAAGAGCACACCAGGGTCATTGCTGCTTTTTCCTTGTGCAAGTGCTTACTAGCTTAAAATAAAATTACAGTAACTAAATTATCACTCATTTCAACCATCATCCAGTCCAGAAGTAACACATATACTGATTTATGCGCCTAATGGATTGTCTAAGAGCACTTCGTTTCGGCTTTATACTTTTTGCTTTCAAACAGCTTTTTAAAATGGCACATTTAATCTGATGAGCTACCCTCTGTCGTACCTACATTATTAATTTATGAGGTAACATAAATTAAAAGCACTAGGCTTAAAGTTCACTGGCTACATGAAAGTTCAAATTAAAATCTCTGTAAGATACTGCTTAGCTTTGTGTATCTCTAGGCAGGACTAAACACACCTTTCATAAAGATTCACTCTGTGTGTGCCAGCTGGGGGAAAAACAGAGGGCTGTGTTCATATTTTAGGAGAATACCTCAGAAGACTTGATTATTTTAATGGTACAGTCTTATCTAATGATTTTTTTGAGAAGGAAACAGCAGGACTTTTCAGAATGGTTTGTGTGATTATTTGTTTATCATTTAAATCTTGATTTTTATTTCATAAAGCACTAGGGCTAAAGAAAACACCAGAAGCTAAAACTAAATCTCTTCAACAACCTAGAATGCACCTAATGTGTTGGGTGAATGAAAGAATCATTGCACGTACCTGCACTTATCTTTACAGCTTTAAACCTGCATGTTTTAACAAGTTGTTTTTCACTAGGTCAGTTTTTTCTTTATACTGTCCCCAAATTAGCTGCCACTGATCTTTCAGAATTTGAAGATTTTTCTTCGAAAAGAAGAAAAAGGTTGCAGATGACACCAAAATATAGTTATTTCTCTAAATGGATCCAGAATACTGGGAGCGACAACAGTAGACATCTAATGTAGTAGATCTCACGTTGATTTACCAACATTAATGTCACAAAAATAACTTTTGATCTATATGCATATGGGCTCAGAATCAAGTCAGTTCTTCAGTGGCCAAAAGTTATCAGTGCCATAGTTTCACATGATATCTCGGAGAATGTGGGCCAGTTTCTAAAGGTATTTCATATGTATTTCTGCTAGCACAGAGGAGACAAGGCACTAACATGGCATTTCCAGCTATTCCAGGAGTTGGGTCCATTAGTTTGATCCTGACTAAAGCAAAAGTGCAACTCACTTCACCATGGCACTCACCTCCTCTTCTGCAGCAGGCAGAGAACCCAGCAACGCTGCACTGGTAAGCAGCTGCCTGGTCGCCATGCAGCTCTAAGGGGAAAGGTGAGCGCCTCATTTGGCGAGACTGAATTCTTCCTTACTATTGATTTTCAGCATTTTGTATTCATGAGTCTCTCATACCCAGCAGCATTAAAATGATGCAGTGTGGTTGACTTTTGGCATCCTACTGATTTATATTACTACTTAGG